CCCAGCCTCCTGTGTGTCCCTGCTCTGCCGCCCTGCCTGCTCCCGCCCCACTTGCTGAGGCTTCTCTTTGGGTCAGGAGTCTAGCTGCTGTGTGGACTGTTATCACTCCAAAGTTTGGCGGCTCCCTCTCACCTGACCCCCGGCTTCTCTGCTGCTGGCCAGCAACTGTCTACATTGCCTGTTTAGGGTCTTGCAGGGGCCTTGGCAGTTATTTGCTCACCCCCTTCCTGACCCTGCCTCAGTGAGGAGTATGGCCCTCTACTGTTCAGCTGTGTTTGTTGCAAAGCAGAAGCTATTCTGGAGCTGAACTCTCAGCCACCTTCCTGGGGCTGTGACAGGGCTCTGCTGTGCGTTCGTAGGCCACCCCTGGCTCTCTTCTTGGGTTCTCAGCGTCCTACCCTACCCACTTCAGCTGTACCTGTCATACTACAATAAACTGTTTGATAAACCTGACCAAGCTTGTCTTAGTGCTCACATGAATGCTTGAGTTTGCACCACTGGCTGCTCACAAGGGCACTAAGCCTGTCTTCTTCCAGTGTCAGTGACAGCGTTCACTGGCCATAGGTATGTCCAAGGGATAAACTTGTGTTCAGGGACACAAGAGTGTGAGTCTGACAGTGGCACCCATTCTGGGTATGCCTTTGGCTACCCTGATTCCCCTTAAACTTTCTCACCCTGGTGGGTAAGATCCTGGGAGATGTTCTCTGTAGAGAACTTGTGTGTGGTAGGCTTTTTCCAGGCTGCCTCCATGAACTGTGGTCTTTATAAAAACAGCATGGCTGGATGCCCGCTCTCCTGAGGGATTGTGGGGCTTTGGTGCATGAGAGGGGTGTTTGATGACCAGCCCATAGAAACCCTGGTCACATGTCTAGAAGCATGCCCTGATAGATGACACCTCCCATGGACCATCTAGCTTTTCTTGGGGATGGGACATATCCCCTGGAGAGCTCCCTAGTTCCCTGCTTCCTAGAACTTGGCCCAAAGCTCCTTTTCTTGGCTGTGAGCACCATCTCTGGCCTGGACCCGTGACCTGGTCCAGCCTGTTGCAGTTAGAGCCACACAGTGGTATCTGAAAACTAAATTGATGGCAACAATCTGTGACCCCCAGGCCACAGCTCAGTGCCTTTCTTTGCTATAGCACATTTGGTGCATGGGTGTGGAGGTGAAGGACACGACCTAGAAAGGGATTCTGGGAGCAGAAGGGACCTCACAGTCTCAGTCCCTTGAGACACTGTTCCAGGCCTAGCAGGTGATGGCTACCTTCATGAATAGTGCGTGTCTTAGTTTGGGTTTTAATGCTCTGAAGAGACACCATGAGCATGGCAACCCTTACAAAGGAAAACATTTGATTGGGGGCCGGCTTACAGTTTCAGAGGCTTAGTTCATTATCATCACAGCAGGAAGCGTGGCAACGTCCAGGCAGACATGGTGCTGGAAGAGCTGAGAGTTCTACATCTGGATCCAAAGGCAGCCAAGAAAAGACTAGATTTCACACTGGGTGGAGCTTGAGCATAGGAGGCCTCAAAGCCCACCCCCACAGTAACACACTTCCTCCAACAAGGCCACACCTCCTCCAACAAGGCCACACCTCCTCCAACAAGGCCACACCTCCTCCAACAAGGCCACACCTCCTCCAACAAGGCCACACCTCCTCCAACAAGGCCACATCTCCTCCAACAAGGCCACACCTCCTCCAACAAAGCCACACCTCCTCCAACAAGGCCACACCTCCTCCAACAAGGCCACACATCCTCCAACAAACCACACCTCCTCCAACAAGGCCATACCTCCTAATAGCACCACTCCCCATGGGCTAAGCATTCAAACATATGAATCTATGGGGTCCTACTCAAATCACCATAGCGTATAACTGACAAAGGACCTGAAATTTGAATTTACAGTAAAACAAACAAACAAAAATGAATGAACAAGAAGAGGTAACAGTGAGCACTTACAGAGATGCCCTGTGGCCAAAAGTCATACAGCTTTGGTCATTCCCACCCACAACAAGAAGACATAAATGAAGAAAGAAGAGACAGCTGCCACACTCAGGATGGCAGGCAGCCAGCTGTCATCACGACCCCAGTGGCTGGTCACCCTGTGGCCAAAGCATACAGATTGACAGAAGGGCTCCACTGAAACATGAAAGGAGGCAAGCGGTCATTACAGCATGTCTATGAAAACACTCAGGAATGAACAAACCTCTGTCCCACATAGAGCTTCCCTTCAGAGTACGGGTATGATGGCTCCTAGGAAGCTGGGCAGGTGAGCAAGGGCTGAGGTGTATCAGCCGGACAGCCGGGTTCATGGGTGCTTGGTACCTTATGTTCTGTACCATCTGCTGCTGGTGGCTTATAATAAAACACTAAGAAAAGAGACTCTCCTGAACGACAGTTAATCAAACAAACTCACAGCTGTAAAAAGAAAGGTCACCATCGGGAAATCTAAAGGCATTCTCTAGCAGCCAATTCAAAAGTCAAAACGCATCATCGGGGACCTGACAGCAAGTGTATGGAGATGCTGCTTCTCAGAACACAGTTAATGTGGGAGAGGATGGACTCAGAAGAAAATCATATATTATATTACCCTTAGGTAATATAAATGAACAGGGTTGAAAGTAACGAAAGGTTCAACACACAAAATCATAAGAGCTTCCAAAATGAGTTTTTAAAAAGGAAATTGAATTTCTTAGAAGACAGCTGAGGAGATGCAGGGATTAAATGAGTATTGGCCTCGCAGGCCTGAAGACCGGAGTTTGCTCCTCTGGAGCCCAGATTTTTAAAATAGCTGGGTGTGACAGCATGCATTGTTGTCCTAGTGATGGGGAGGCAGAGGAAGGAGGGCCCCTGGGCCAGCTAGTCTGGCTGAATCACTGAGCTCTGGATTTTCGGGAAGATCCTATCTCAAAAAAGCAAGGTGAGGAGTGATGAAAGAAAAACCCCATGTCAATCTCTGGACAAAATAAACAAACAAATGATATTAAGAAATTGTAGCTATAAATAAAACTGATTGATGATTTAAAAAATGCAAATTAAAATACTGGCAAATCCAGAAGAGAGAAATGATAATAAAAATTAATTATGATGAAACAAATAATAAAAGTATTTAATGTAAATATTTTAATGATATTACAATACACACTATGTGGGTTAAACACTACCTTCCACATAACTATGACTGACAGGAATAGACAAATTAATGAGAATAAGGAACAAAGACAAATGTTCAACACAGTGACCAGCAAACCGCTCCTACAAAGACGGAGAAGAAAAAGGCCAAACAGCATTTTAACCAGATAGGAAACACCTACCAAAATTACAAGACTCAGAAAACTCTGCTCACCCATGACCGACCCTGAATGTAAATGGCCTCAATTCCCCAGCTGATTAGATTAGATGCTCAAGCTGTTTGTCGTCATCCAGATATATCTTTTGGGCCAATGAGATGGCTCAGTGGGTAAAGAGGGTTGCCACTAAGCCTGACGACTTGAATTTGATATTTGGGACCCACATGGTAGGAGAGAACTAACTTCCGCAAACTATTCTCTGACCTACAAACAAACACCACACACACAGAGAGAGAGAGAGAGAGAGAGAGAGAGAGAGAGAGAGACAGAGACAGAGACAGAGACAGAGACAGAGAGAGAGAAGGAGAATATAAACACATGAATCCTTGCTTGCTTTCTCCACTTTTATGCAGTTCAAGACCCCTTGCCTAAGGAATGGTGCTACCCATAATGGGCTGGCTCTTCATACATCAATTAACAATCAAGACAACAGTCACAGACAGGCAGGCTCACAGGCCAACCTGATCGAGGTAATTCTTCACTGAGAATGTCTTTCTTGGTGATCCTATGTTGTGTCACCTTAATACCTAAAACTAACCAACACAACTCAGTTAAAAAAAAAAAAGTCATTGTACATAAAGGGTCAGACTAGCCCAGATATGTGGACTTGCTCGTTGCTCAATTCTCTCCAATAGGTAGATCCTTGAGGCAAAATACGAACAAAGAAAATTCATAGTTGAAATACACTACAGAGCAAATGGCCTTAACGGACACCTGCAGAATACTCTATCTGCCAGCCATGGGGTGCACATTATTTCTCAGCACAGGAATTTCTCAAAAATAGATCACATTTGAGATCACAAACCAAGACTGAACAAGTGCCAAAGCATCTTCTTGCAGGTCATAATGCAAGAAAAGTCGGAACCAATACCAAAAAAGACCAAAGAAAAATGACACTTCTGAATGACCAATGGGTCACTAAAGATATCATAGAGGAAACTTAAACATTCCCATAATCAAATAAAAGTGAAAATACAATTTATCAGAACCTTCAGGGTACAGCAAAGGTGGTTCTAAAAGGACAGTATACAGCTGTGAGTACTTACATTAAGACTCCAACGGGGAGGGGCTTAGAGAGAGGGCTCAGCATTTAGAGCACTTGACCCCCTAGCAGAAGGACCCCAGTTAAGTTAGTAGCACACGAACAGCAGTTAACAACAGTCTATAACTCCAGTTTCAGGGAATGCCCTCTTCTGACCTCCTCAGGCACCAGGCATGCGCGTGATAAACAGACACATGCAGGCAAAATGAACATATACAAAGATAAGATAAGCAAACAAACAAAAAACATAAAAGAAAAATCAGGGGAGACATGTACCCAGAAATCCTGTGGATCTTTGTCTTGGATGGGGCTGAGCTAGGGTCTGTATTTTAACTATCAACTACCTTTCAATTTCTCGCATTGCAGCTTCTAGACAATCTTCTGTCCCTGGCTTCCAGGCCAGCCAGCACCATCTTTTTGTGGTTATTACCCTATCGTCCACCAGCCAGCCCCTCCCAGACAATTATTGTCATCAGAATAATTGAACTGAGATCAAAGCTGCCATAAGCCACCTGATCAATTTGCACAATCCCTCCTACATCTGCTTCTCTCTCTAGGTGACTGTTTTGACCAAATGACTTGGCTGTGCAGGGTGGAAGCCTCTTCTTTCACAAATTGCCAAGGAGAGGGGCAAACACACTGAGTATCTCCTCAAGATGCAAAATCAATA